TTAACGACCAAACCTTTTTGCGATAAAAAAAAATAACATTATATTGCTTGTCTTTGACCCTGGCACTGAAGATGTTGGCGTTAAAAATATCCTGGAGCCTTTTCCTTTGTCTGGTGGCGCTTTGAAACGGGAGAAAAGTTTGTCCGTTCAAAACTTCCAAAGACACAGGCTGTCAGAATTGTCTCGCCTGCTGACAAAGAGAGACTTTACTAAACAACACAGGAAAGCTAAGAAAATGGAACTTTCTTTTTAGATCTCTCTTTTTCAATAAGGAGTTATATTGCGTAAGTAGAACTGCGGCCAAAATATATTTTTTTATATTATTTAAAAAGAAAAAAAAACAATATAGAGGAAAATATCTCGCTATCAAGAAATAACATTAAAATAAATTACAGAAATACTCTAAAGTAGGTATCTCCACAAATTCCCGCTTTTTCACTGAAAAACAAAAACAGTATAGCATGAAACAAAGCCTCAAACTTAATAAAAACAAAGTTTTATCGTCAAAATATTTATGTTATTAATAAGAGGAAAGATCCAAGTATTTTTAAATTATTTTATTAAATTTTTAAATCCTTTCTAGCATGTCCGAAGTTTTGGTCAGCAGTCGACGTAATAATTACGGTTAATGTTTTTACACTTTTCTCCGGTGAAAAAAAAACAAAACATTGATTTGGAAATTCTTACAAAAATCAAATAATTGTTTGATTTTTAATGCAGCTTTTCGGAGTTATTCCGAAATGAATGAAATTGTTTTTTTTTGTTGTTTTTTTCGTTTTTTTTTATAAAATCTTACTAAAATATATATATATTTGTACATATGTCCCCACTACTTACTTAATTTCATGAAATTTCGAGAAATTAAATTTCAACTTTTAAATTTGTTTTATTAGTTAAAAGCAGGACTCTTTAGAGAATTTAAAAATTTGTTTTCTTTTTTTTTTTCATGAAACGGGACACGCAGTTTCCGAAAATCTGCTCTGAATCCTAAATCTGTGACATTCTTTAATTAGAAAAACTTTTTAATTGCTGGACAGTATTGTCTTAAGAAAAACAAATTTCGATGAGAAAGGAATTTTTGCATGAATTGTATGCCTTTTTTAAAATTTTAATTAGAATAATTTATAATAATATAAAATTTAATTAGAATAATTTATAATAATATAAAATTTTAATTAGAATAATTTATAATAATATAAATCGATTAAAATTCAGCCTTATTTCACCCCGATTATGTGATATTATCATTAAGTGAAAACGATATTTACGAATGAAAAATTGGAAAGTCGTTTACACCTAATATTTTTTCAATTTTTATTTTTTTTATGTATATAAAATATTACGTAACGTGCCCCTGTTTGAAAGTATTGTCGCCCATACACGACATAATTAGAAAAATAAGAGCGATGACTCTAGAAAATTTAAATTCAACATTCGTAAAATAAGATTACGGAGAATATCTTCCAACATTTTTAAGATTACTTAGTACTTAAAAGTTATATAAAAAAGAAGGTCATCTGTTATTTTCTTAAATTAAGTTTTAACAGATAGAGTCTCCGCAGAACAACAGTAAATGTGTTGAGAGATTTTATCATCATTTGTCAAGTGAAGTGGTATTCTCAGTAGACTTCTGCAGAAACTACATGTCTGTTGCTTCAAGTTTCTTGTTCATCTTTGAGAAGATTGTCCGACATTCACTGTCACATAGGAGAACAGATATCACGTAAAGCTTCAATACTTTTTTTTTTGTTTCTGACAAAGTTTTTCTCTGTCTTAAGGCTCTTTTTAGCTTTTGATATGCATATTTGGTCAATGGCAGATGAAGACATATTTGGATTGCCAATGGCCATCCAAATACGTCTTCGGATTTCAGTGTTGCACATTTCGTCCTCTCTTAGAATGCTATCAAGATATTTAAATTTTTCTACTCGTTTTCTTTTAGTCTCCATGATTTGCAGTTTGCATTTTGGGATCATCCTTTTGCTGATGACTATGCATTCTATCTTGGGGTTTATACTTAGTCCCTCAAAATCTCTCGATTAGAGGCCTTACTGACGGATGTAGTTTATCGTTATACTCAGGACGACGACCGGCTGGGTTGGAGCCGCTGAACTCCTCACTTTCGATAGAGTTCAAAATGGTTTACTCGTCTTTCTCTGACTTATTTTCTATCTGGCATCCTCTTCCTTACATACCATCTTAAACCTCGATCAATAAGTATGTAGCCTGACAGTTATTAACTGAGTTCTGATCTTTATAAATATTCAGTTTGTATAATTAATATTGACCATTGAATTAAGTAAATTATGCTAAAAATTAAATAAGCACATTTTTTTTTTAAATTATTCACAAACTTGTCAATATACCTACGTATATATCTCCTGACTAATAAATCATTAGATACAAAGTTACACAGCAGGATGCAGGATAGTTTGGGGTCTAAAACTTCAACTGCACACATATTAAGAAGATAAATGTACTTAGATTTTTAACAATAGATAATTTGCTGCAAGGAAATTTGTTCAAAAGTTCCGGAGATGCTAAGGGCTGATGTATATCTTCCAAGTTTTGAAACAACAAACTGAATGACTGAAAAAAAACTAGAGATAATAACATCAGTATGTCAAACCATCTGACAACCAAATATTAACAAATAAATTTCTAAATTTCTAAAATTTCTAATAGTATCTGTCTATATTTCTGAGATGAGGTATTATGTACATTATTTACATTATTCGGACTATTGTCCTCATCTTTGTCACCATATTTATTACAACATTTCGGCCTTTCGGTATCTGTCTATATTTCTGAGATGAGGTATTATGTACACTATTTACATTATTCGGACTATTGTCCTCATCTTTGTCGCCATATTTATCACAACGTTTCGGCCGTTGTACGCTTCGGCCTTCTTCAAGTGCTTGGAATGTCGAACTGAACCCTTTATGTCGCTCACTCAAGGACACAGTGGATGAAGGCGTTAGTTAAATCCAGTGACAAGACCCAAAAGAGTGTGAGTTCAATATCTGGTTAAGTCAGTGGAGAACTTGGAGAAGAGATTTAACAGGAGATAACTGATAACTGACATCCATTAAACATGGCACGTGGAATTAGAACAGTCTAGCGAAATAAAGGGTTCAGTTCGACATTCCAACCACCTGAAGAAGGCCGGAGTGTACAACGGCCGAAACGTTGTGATAAATAGGGCTACAAAGTTGAGGACAATAGTTCGAATAATGTAAATAATGTACATAATACCTCATCTCAGAAATATAGACAGAATGGAAAATTTGGTGCAAGGAAATTTGTTCAAATGTTCCAGAGCTGCCAAGAGCTGATGTATGTCTTCCATGTTTTGAAACAACAAAATGAATGGCTGGTAAAAATAGAGATCCTAACATCAGTAAGTGAAACCATCTGACATCCAAATATTAAGAAATAGATTTCCTAATTTGTAAAATTTCTAAATTTCTAATAGTCTACAAGGAACATGGCATGTCTTTTTAGATAATGATTGCAACAGTTCAGATGTGAAAGTTAACTATTTGCAATCGCAAATCTATACATAAGTAAAAACTTGATGCAAACCAGATGAAGAATATAAGGTTTTGTATTGGAATTAATATATTTTTTCTCACTTTATTAAAGGGCAAAATAAATGTGTTTAATAATTCATAATTCAAAAATACGCTCTTAAGTAGGCGCCCGGGGGGATGGGGTCGTCAGTGATGTTATTTGACTTGGTTCATTAGGGAGTTTCGGGTCTTTCAACATCATACACCCCATCACCAAGTCGGTCCAATCAGGGGAGATCAACCCCTGATCCCCCCCTCTCAATCAAACGCTGACAACTACTCTGGCCTTTTAATGAATTAGATGAAGAAAGACCACATTTTCCGCACACCTGATTGGATGTTTGTAACAACCAATCCGCTGTTCGGACTATCTTTTAAATGATCCACGGTGGGGACTGTCTTCTTTTCTTTTTTTTTTTGGTGGATAGAAGTTTCAATGAATAACCAAGGAGGTAATCTTAATGTTCCTAAATTTAACCCTTTTCCCTAAGTATGGTATGGTGTCTTACTCTAAATATTAACCATTTTGATTTTATTTGTGTTTTTTTAGGTGGGGGGGGAGACTTAAACTCAACCCTAGTATCACATTTTTATCGTTTAGCCTGATTCTTAACATTATTACAGGTCAGTTAAATTTAAATGAATGTATTCGCAAAATGAAAATAATTGTCCATAAACATGCCGTATATTTTGACTGTACATACACAAAAAAAAAAAAAAAAAAAAAAAGATAGAAAAAATTGCATAAAACACTATAATATTCCTTAAAATTGATTTAAAACTATTTACAAATTTTAGGTCGGTTAAAATACAATAAACTACGAAATACTCTTGAAATTCACTTAAACTATGAAAGAAGGGAAATCTGCCTTACAATACAAGTGAGAGAAATAAAAAAAAAGGTCCTTAAATTTTTTTAAAATATTATCAATACCAAATATTCATATGCGTTTTACTCTTTTGTTCCATCAATTCAAACGTCGACTGCTAGGACATCACATACGGACTGCAATCACCCTCATTTCCTTCATATTCCAAATATAAGAAGACAGTTCTACTCACGTTGTTTGATTTTTAATCTTTCTATGGTTGAAACTGCTAAAGACTTAACTTGTTAAATCTGACAGAAAAAGAAAACAAATCATAAGACGCTTGAACTTAATTCACATTTAAAATCTGTCCAAATTATTGGAATACCCTTTACTTAAGTTCCTGATCGCCAATGACATGTTCCAATTAACACTCCCAACCCACATTTTTCTGAAGCTGCCAATTGCTAACGCGATTGAGGAACAACCCGACAAACATCCCCAGCTGATAAAACAAAAACTTTCATTTAGAATACACAAAGATGAATTGCATGGCTCAAACATTCTGACCATTGAAAGAGAGTTTGCTATGAGATCGATTATGCCAAAGTAATACATGTATTTCCAAGATGGAGGCCGGCAACAAAACAGGCTGTTTGCGGTTGTTTTCATACCGTCTAACGCCTTTCATCGTTTTGTTTTCATTTTACGTTTTAAATGTGAAATAATAACTTGGCAGATGTATTTTTATTATATTGTTGACATTTCAGACACTTGATATCTCTTTGTCTTCGTTTGCTCATCATTAGTTAATCTATCTATCTATCTATCTATCTATCTATCTATCTATCTATCTATTACAGTATATTCAATATCTATCTATCTATCTATCTATCTATCTATCTATCTATCTATCGTGTTCATTGTATATATGTATGTATCTATCCATCTATCTCATTCATTTTGTTGTTTTACTTTCTTTTCATTATCCATCTCATTCTGTTCATTTTCTTTCTATCTATCTATCTATCTATCTATCTATCTATCTATCTATCTATCTATCTATCTATCTATTAATAGTATATTCAATATCTATCTATCTATCTATCTATCTATCTATCTATCTATCTATCTATCTATTACAGTATATTCAATATCTATCTATCTATCTATCTATCTATCTATCTATCTATCTATCTATCTATCTATTACAGTATATTCAATATCTATCTATCTATCTATCTATCTATCTATCTATCTATTACAGTATATTCAATATCTATCTATCTATCTATCTATCTATCTATCTATCTATCTATCTATCTATCACGGTCTGTTTATCCCTCTCTCTCTCTCTCTCTGTCTGTCTATCACAGCCTGTTCATATCTATCTATCTATCTATCTATCTATCTATCTATCTATCTATCACAGTCTTTTTATATAGATCTCTTTCTCTCTCTCTCTCTCTATCTAATCATGTTAATATTTAACGTATTCTGTTCATATGGATCTAATTATGTTCATATGAAGTAAATTCTGTTTATATCTACCTATCTCTCTATCTATCTATCTATCTATCTATCTATCTATCTATCTATCTATCTATGTCATTCTTTTATTATCTTTATATCTTATTCTATCGATTTTCTTTCTTTTTTCTTTCTTCTTTCTTTCTTTCTTTCAATTATCTGTCTATCTCATTCTGTTGATTTTCTTTCTTTCCGTCGTTTTTACTTTCTTGTTTTTCATTATCTGTCTACTTATCTCAGTCTGTTCTATCTATCTATCTATCTATCTATCTATCTATCTATCTATCTATCTATCTATCGATTCACCATTCTTCAAACCATCTATCTATCTATCTATCTATCTATCTATCTATGATTTCACTTCTTCAATCTATCTATCTATCTATCTATCTATCTATCTATCTATCTATCTATGCGATTCACTTCTTCAAACTATCTATCTATCTATCTATCTATGCGATTCACTTCTTCAAACTATCTATCTATCTATCTATCTATCTATCTATCTATCTATCTATCTATCTATGCGATTCACTTCATCAATCTATCCATCTATCTATCTATCTATCTATCTATCTATCTATGCGATTCACTTCTTCAAACTATCTATCTATCTATCTATGCGATTCAACTATCTTTAAACTATCTATCTATTCATATCTATCTATCTATGCGATTCACTTCTTCAATCTATCTATCTATCTATCTATCTATCTATCTATCTATGCGATTCACTTCTTCAAACTATCTATCTATCTATCTATCTATGCGATTCACTTCTTCAAACTATCTATCTATCTATCTATCTATCTATGCGATTCACTTCTTCAATCTATCTATCTATCTATCTATCTATCTATCTATGCGATTCACTTCTTCAAACTATCTATCTATCTATCTATCTATCTATTCATGCGATGATTCACTTCTTCAATCTATCTATCTATCTATCTATCTATCTATCTATCTCATATTTTCATCTATCTTCATTCAATCTATCTATCTATGCGATTCAATCTTCAAACCATCTATCTATCTATCTATCTATCTATCTATCTATGATTCACTTCTATCCATCTCCAATCTATGATTCAATCTATCAATCTATCTATCTATCTATCTATCTATGCGATTCACTTCTTCAAACCATCTATCTATCTATCTATCTATCTATGCTGATTCACTTCTTCCAATCTATCTATCATCTATCTATCTATCTATCTATCTATCTATCGATTCACTTCTTCAATCTATCTATCTATCTATCTATCTATGCCGATTCATTTCTTCAAACTATCTATCTATCTATCTATCTATCTATGCGATTCACTTCTTCAATCCATTCATCTATCTATCTATCTATCTATCTATCTATCTATCTATCGATTCACTTCTTCAAACTATCTATCTATCTATCTATCTATACGATTCACTTCTTCAATCCATCTATCTATCTATCTATCTATATCTGATTCACTTCTTCAAACCATCCATCATATCTATCTATCTATCTATATCGATTCACTTCTTCAATCTATCTATCCATCTATCCATCTATCTATCTATCAAACCGATTCACTTCTTCAATCCATTCCTATCTATCTATCTATCTATCTATCCATGCGATTCACTTCTTCAAACTATCTATCTATCTATCTATCCATCCATCCATCGATTCACTTCTTCAATCTATCCATCTATCTATCTATCTATCTATACATCTATCTATCCATGCATTTCACTTCTTCAAACCATCCATCTATCCATCTATCCATCTATGCGATTCACTTCTTCAATCTATCCATCTATCTATCTATCTATCTATACGATTCACTTCTTCAAACTATCTATCTATCTATCTATCCATCTATCTATGCGATTCACTTCTTCAATCTATCTATCTATCTATCTATCTATTATCTATCTATCTATCTATACGATTCACTTCTTCAAACTAGTCATCTATCTATCTATCTATCTATGCGATTCACTTCTTCAATCTATCTATCTATCTATATCTATCTATCTATCTATCTATGCGATTCACTTCTTCAAACTATCTATCTATCTATCTATCTATCTATGCGATTCACTTCTTCAATCTATCTATCTATCTATCTATCTATCTATCTATCTATCTATCTATGCGATTCACTTCTTCAAACTATCTATCTATCTATCTATGCGATTCACTTCGATTCAATCTATCTAATTATCTATCTATCTATCTATCTATCTATCTATCTATCTATGCGATTCACATTCTTCAAACCATCTATCTATCTATCTATCTATCTATGCGATGACCTTCTTCAATCTATCTATCTATCTCTATCTATCTATGCGATTCACTTCTTCAAACCATTCATCTATCTATCTATCTATCTATGCGATTCACTTCTTCAATCTATCTATCTATCTATCTACGATTCACTTCTTCAATCTATCTATCAACTATCTATCTATCTATCTATCTATCTATCTATCTATACGATTCACTTCTTCAAACCAATATCTATCTATCTATCTTATCTATCTATCTATACGGATTCCTTCTTCAATCTATCTATCTATCTATCTATCTATCTATCTATCTATCTATCTATCTATCTATCTATAAAATTTCCTTCTTCAAACTATCTATCTATCTATCTATGCGATTCTTTTCAATCTATCTATCTATCTATCTATCTATCTATCTATCTATCTATCTATGCGATTGGACTCTTCAAACCATCTATCTATATCATATCATCTATCTATGGGATTAAATTTTCTTCAAACTATCTATCTATCTATCTATCTATGCGATTCACTTCTTCAAACCATTCTATATCTATCTATCTATCTATCTATACGATTCACTTCTTCAATCTATCTATCTATCTATCTATCTATCTATCTATCCATCTATGCGATTCCTTCTTCAAACTATCTATCTATCTATCCATCTATCTATGCGATTCACTTCTTCAATCTATCTATCCATCTAGTCTATTCATCTATCTATCATCTATCCATCATTCCATCTATCTATCTATGCGATTCCTTCTTCAAACTATCATCTAATTTATCTATCTATCTATGATTCACTTCTTCAATCCATCCATTCTATCCATTCATTCATTCAAATCTATCTATGATTCTTATCAAACTATCTATCATTATCTATCTATCTATATGCGATTCACTTCTTCAAACTATCTATCTATCTATCTATGCGATTCACTTCTTCAATCTATCTATCTATCTATCTATCTATCTATCTATCTATCTATCTATCTATGCGATTCACTTCTTCAAACTATCTATCTATCTATCTATCTATCTATCTATGCGATTCACTTCTTCAAACTATCTATCTATCTATCTATCTATCTATCTATCTATCTATGCGATTCACTTCTTCAATCTATCTATCTATCTATCTATCTATCTATCTATCTATCTATCTATCTATCTATCTATCGACACATGTTTGATGCTTATAACGATTCGGTATATTTCTCCTGAATTTTAACATTCAGTGATAATATTTATCCTCCCCAATATTGTTCTTAAGCTCATTAATTTTGAATATAATTAACTCTTTTACGCCCACACAAGTTACATATTCATCCTTATCTAGATCTTGGCACACACAGACTAACCCTTCATACACCAAATACATATTTGACATTTGCACATCTCCGCTTCGTCATATCCACGCACTGATCGTTCGGATATTTCTCACAAGTGCCTTCGTCTCAATTACTTTCATAAACGCCACATGGCGTGTTCCTCATTAAAAATCTGCTTCATCGAACGCTCTTAGATGGTATGGAATCACTATGATACGAGTTTAATAAAAACAGTAGTAGTACATATGCCAGCACATGGATATTCGATGACATTGATAATCAACTGAAGAATATTACTAGTGGATTTGAAACGGACTCATAAAGTTTGCGTATATACAGCGTGACCCTAAAGACTAGACATAGAAGCGGAAATGCATATTTTTCAAGAAATTAAATTTTCAACATTTTATTAATTTGAAACATTAACAAATAACATCTTCAATATGATTTCCATCATTTGTGATGCAAATGTTGATGCGCTTTGCAAGATTCACGTGGACTCGATGCAATAACTCCAATACCTAGATTATATATATATATATATATATATATATATAAATATATATATATATATATATATATATATATATATATATATATATATATATTTTGTACAGGTAAGAGCCTATAGCTGGCTGCCACGAATAGGCAGGAAGATTCTATTGGCCAGCGTGAGAGCCAACAGCTGACTGACACGAATGTTAACTAACATGCTAGCATGCAAAAAAAAAATCGATAGCTGCATTCGTCACAAGCGGGAAAAATTTAAATCTCCATGGCACTTTACTCCAATTGGCTCATTCGCTTGCTTAAACTCAACGTAGATTCTGATTCCGCAGAAATGGGTTTGGTGTGAAAAAGTATTTGTTGTTAACATTCTTTTTTTCATTCGGTTTTTCCAGTTACGAGTCCTTTTTTAAAGCTGATCGTTTTGTGTTCATTTTGTTTAGTTCTTTTTTCGTAACAGATTTAATGTTTAGTATAGAGCTTAGAAAAAATTCGCAGTGTGAGGCAGATAAAGGCATGTAACAACATCAGCACAGCAAAGGGCAATCCCAAAAAAAAGTCAAGGAAGGGCAAAAGTATTTTAAGGCAAGTGATAGCGATTGCTGTATGAGTCGTGCGATTTTTGAATGAAGCACGGGCAATGCTGCTAGTGTATATATATATATATATATATATATATATATATATATATATATATATATATATATATATATATATATATATATACATAGTGTCTCGATAGATAGGTAAAAAATGCATATTTTCAAGAAATTAAATTTTTAGCATTTTATTGATTTGGAATATTAGCAAATACTATCTTCAATACGATTTCCATGATTTTTGGTGTAAAAATTGATGCGTTTTGCAAGATTCACGTTATCTCGTCGAATGATCTACTTCCCGTTCATAAACAGAAAAAAAAAGATCTATTGGCAGCTGGATGACGTTTTAACAGGAAGCATTTTCATAATTCCACTGAAGATTGGATTCAAATGATGATCGTTTTCTTGCTTTTAGGCCGATATGTTCTTCGTCCTTCGTGTTCACTCACAGACAATCGTAATATTACGGTTAATTAAAATCATAACGCTTCTGTTTATTAATTCTACGAGGATTCCCTAAAGTCTTGACATGGAGGCAAAAACGAAATATTTTCAAGAAATGAACATTTTTTCAATTGGAATATTAACAAATAAAATCTTCAATATGATTTCCATCATTTGTGATGCAAAGGTTGATACACTTTGCAAGATTCACGTGCAATCAATGCAATAACTTCACATTGCCGTCATTAGCTCTTTATCTGTTCAGTTACATCTGTGATTTTTATTGAGTACACCTTCTCCTTTAGCACACCCCAGAAAAAAGAAATCAATTATTTCTTCTTTCGACAAAACCATGTTGAATCTGCCGAGGTTAAAAAATATATAGTTAATGAGATTTCTTATATGTTCAGACCTTAGGGACAACCTGTGTTAGATCAAAAACTTTATTAAATCAGGGCATAAAAATATTTGGTTTTACTGTACATACAAATAGATTATACCAAACTTAAGATAGGATCATAATAGAGTCGTTAATAAGGATTGAACTTGCAATCAATCTCTTGAGCAACTCAGTATTGCTCTGCAGCAGATATTCTGAAATGTAGATATTTTCTGTTTTGAACATAGAAGACACAAATTCACAATAGTGGGTCAACAAACTAAGATTTGGACTCTCTATTTTAGTTTTCTCTTAAATTATCAAAATGGTTTAATTCTTCTTTATACTATACAGGGTGTCCCCAAAATCTGGACACCCTAGGCAAGAATGCATGTTTTCAAGAAATGAAATTCTCAACAACATTTTATTGAATTGGAATATTAACAAATGACATCTTCAATATGATTTCCATTATTTGTGATGCAAAGGTTGATGCACTTTGCAAGATTTACGTGGACTTGATGCAATAACTCTATATTGCTATCAGTTTTAGCACATACACTCTTTATGCGGTCAGTAAAGTATGTTGCATCTGTGATTTTTATTGTGTAAATTTTCTCCTTTAGCATACCCCACAAAAAGAAGTCAGTTCTTTTTTCTTTCGACAAAACCATGTTCAACCACTGGAAGTAAAAAAAATATAGTTAATGGGATTTCCTATGTTCCATGTCTTTAGGAACACGGTGTAGATTTGCTCTTTACGTAAATTTTAACATTTAAAGTGGGATATTTCAGGATAACACTCTGGAATTTTAAAATCCCTACAGTGTTGAAAGTTATTTCACCTTTTTTTTAAGACAAGCCTTTATTGAGTTCCAAAGCGTTTACATGACCTTATTTTCTGCTCTACAGACTCTCCCCAACCCAAAACACACACACACACACACACACACACACACACACACACACACACACACACACACACACACTACATGACAAGCATATCCTTCTCTCACTACTTACATGACAAGCTCTGGTCTTTAGTGTCATGTCTTCAGACATCTGCAACTAAGTGTCATCTTTTGTTAATACTGGTCGTACAGTTATCACCTTTTTCCTATCTGAATTCAACATTTGCGGTTTGTTAACTCATTCAAGTCAAGAACAAGTGAGAAACTTGTCATCGACATGCAAGATATCCTTGATATCACCTGCGCCAAATTCTTAAAAATTTACGCAATTTGTACCTGGATATTTTTGACCGTGGTTGTCTCAATTTCTATTCTATACATTTCCTTAGCTACTGCATTGGACGGCATATAAGAAAATATCCGTAAATCCATATCGGTGTATATATAACCTGCAGATTAAATTTGGAGTTGACTTTTATTGTTCTTACGAGGGTGGGATGAAAATTTCATATGAAGGAATGATGCTAGAGCTTGGAAACCTTGCATTGAACTCCTCTTATTAATAACTGAATCGTTTATTTCCAGATAAACTAACATCTGACTGTTCAAATAGGATTTCAAAAGTAAGTACTAGAGATTTCTTTTGAAAATGTACAAAATTTGGCATCATGGTGTTTTCAGGTACCTGTAGAAAAAAGTTTAATCCCCAAGGACATTAATGTTAAAATGGTTGATAGGTTAGAGGGGGATACTCCATCTTTATCAATACAAATGTGAGCAGCTGAATTTAGGATTCTTGAAGATGATAGAATGGCTGGGCTTCCTGCAACTGCCACCACCGAAAAACATTGATCATGTTTAACACATAGTGATGCCTGACAGGACATTGACTATAAATCAAATTGCCAAAGCTCTTGGCATATCTTGTGAAAGAGTTGACAATATTGCGCACAATGAATTTGGCATGATGAAGTTTATTGATCGGTTGGTGTCGCGTGTTGATCAAAAGCTCAACAGACTGATCAGATTACAGAAAAATCTGACATTGTTCGAGGCAGATCCGGTGTTGGGTTCATCTAAAGAGAATCTATGCAGTGGAATCACACCTCCCCATTTGCTCCAAAGAAGGTCATGGATTCAAGTTGAATTCGAACTCGGCTCTCCGATTACTCAATCCGAACTGCTTAACATTATTCCAACATTTGGATCTATCTCGTTTTTTTAGCATCGTGGTTTCATCATGTTCCTGCAAAAAAAAGGATTTAGACTCGAAAGACATTCACGCAGACATGTTTGAAACATTAGGGGATGACGCTCCAACGTTATCAACAGTTCTAAAGTGGGCAGCTGGTCTTAGGAGGGGAAGATTATCCAGTGGGTGGGTTTCCTGCAACTGCCAAAGAGAAAAAAACATTGATCGTTTTCATTAAATAGTGATGACTGACAGGATATTGACTCTAAATCAAATAACCAAAGTTATTAACTTATCTTGTGAAAGAGTTGGGAATATTTCGCAAAATGAATTTGGCATGATGAAGTTTACTGATTGGTTGGTGTCGCGTGTTGATCAAACGTTCAACAGACTGATTAGATTACTGGAAAATCT